GGTCAGTGAGGGCTGTGCGGTGTGTGTGGTGTGTGCGGGACTGTGCAGTCTGTGCGGGACTGTGCGGTCAGTGAGGGCTGTGCGGGACTGTGCGGTCAGTGAGGGCTCCGCACAGCATGGCCTGGAACGCAGGTATGGACTGACCTTCAAATCCCCGCTTCCACTGGGCTGCAGGCCCCGCGCTGTGCCAGCCCCGGGGGAGCTATACCAGCTGCTGAGCACAGGAAACACCGTTTTGTGGGGTTTTTTTAGTCTTTTTTTTGTTTAGTTGTTAAGATTTCTGTTAAAACTGACTAATACCAGAGCAGCCATTTGCTACTGCAGTTTTCTGTCATGATTTTATATGGTGACTTTTCCCATCTGTCCCTTTCTATATCCCAACTACTTGACCAAATTTTGGGTTTCTTTTGGAGATAATGAGAACTCAAACATTACCTAAACTGCATGTATGTTTTACACAGAACTATAGCATATCTACAGATACAATCTGTAGTTGGATTGTTTAAACACTTGGCAGAAAACTTTTTAATTCATATCATTAATTCCCAAAATTGTTAACCTGATGAAATAGGTTCATACCCATGAGGAAGTTTCACTTTCTCAACCAATATACCAGAAGCAGTGTTTCCAGCTCAATAGGGGAGGTGAGTGTATTGGTGTTACTGCAGCAGCAAGTACTGTACTACAACTGACCTCTCAAAAACTGCAGGGGTCCCAAAGGGAGAGGGATATATTTTTTTAACCTCTTAAGTTTAAGTTTCTAACAAACATTCTTCCTCCACCTCATTTTGGAGACAGGGGCTCAGACAGATGGTTATTATAGAAAACTACGAAATGGAAGGTAAAAATCAGTGCATGACCTCAGTCCAAGAACACACCTCTCTGTTACTCTTCAGTTTCTGGAAATAATCTTTGCCGTACATGCCAGCCCATGGATGCAGAGCTGGATATTCCCCCTCTTTAATGCAAGTTGTGCATCATCACATGCGCCTTCAGAGTACCTGCAGTCACAAGTTACTTCAGAACTTTTTCTTTAAGTCATGTTTTGAACGTCTTTACTACTGAGAAAAAAATGCAATGTTAAAAAGTAAAAATCTTCATTGAAGATTAACTTCATAGAAGATTTTAGTACCTATTTGCTATTTTTATGGTAGCAAAGCATAAGAGTTGGAAGGCCACTTTATATTACATCTAGAAAAGTCGTGGAATGCTTCAAATACATCCTTACTTTGAAATGTATGAGAATTCTTCATTTGTGAATCTGTGCTATAAATTTTGCAGTTAACAATGCTCCTTAACAATATGCAACACAGTGCAAATGAACATTTAAACAGTTGACATAATTTTACATATCTTTAAGGATTATCCCATCACAGGATACAAACATCCCTCCTTCATAATAAGATAAATTTACATTTCATAAAATGTTCTAAGTGCTTTGAAAATGCTTCTCAAAGGTGACATATTCTGCATTCCTAAGAGGGTGAGGTCTTCCACTAAAAATGCCAACACTGGGTTATTCATTTATACATTGTTGGTAGTTTCCATTTTCATATCAATTAATTGGTCGGACTCAATGATCTTATTCTGTTTCACGGTCTAATAATTTGGCCAACATGGCACCTGCTTTGGTAAATTAATTGAGTATTGAAACAATTAACTCTTGAGTTTTTGTCTTAATCAAGGGTTCTTAAGTCCAACAAACCCAAGTCAGATCACTACAGAAGGAATTTCTTCTAAGGATAGAATCAAATGGAGTGCCAAGAAAATCACTGAGAGCTCCTACTGTAAGTACCTCCCGTAGATAATGTAAACACCTCCATGTTTTGTGGTCTTTCTGAGAGACTTCAGATTTGAAAACCTGTAAGATTAGCTTTTAAAAGGCATGAAGTTAGCTCTTTTTTCAGCTTTTGGAGTTTGCTTCTAGGTTTGTCTCATCAGAGGGAATTCTCCCACCTAGAAGTGGCCTGAGGATTGCATAAAAGAAGTTAAAAAAGATATTTTGCCTCATTTAATTATGAGCCCTTTAACTATCTGAGTAATGTTGATGGAGTCCAGAAGTATGTGCCTTGTCTACCTTAGGCAGTATAAAATGGGAACATGCCTGATCTCAGAGGGGAAAAAAGGCACATGGAGAGACTGGAACAGGGAACTTGCACTTGACTAATGACACAAGCATGAGAAAATTAACTGGCAAAATATTAACACTTCATCTTCTGAGAAGCTTGGCATTATCAGAAAAGAAAGATTCACTGTACCTTTTTAAAAACCAACCAACCAACCAAACCAAAAAAACAAACAAACAACAAAGGAAAAAATAAACATTGTCAAAGCCTATTTCCCTTCTGAGCTAATGAGGCTCCAGTTATTTCAATCACCATTCTTCCCAGAAGTTGTATTCTGGTGCAACAGGGGTGTATCATTAAGTGTCCCTCCACTGATAGAAGCAAATCAGTTCTCTATTTCTCCCGTGTCCATCCCTGAATTTCCACTGCTTTTCTTGATGTCACTCCCCTTTTATAATCATGGCAGTGGCCCTGGGTGTAACCTCAGCCCAACCCCTGCTAAGTCAGAGCAACAGTGACTGGTGAGGGCTGCTGATTTCAGGGGAAGGACTGCACGGTCTGTACAAATACAGGGGCTGATCCTATTCCCACTGTGGGAGTTCAGCTCAGGAGCTGGACACTTCTCCCAGTCTTGGCTGCATTCACATTCTGGAGCTGTCCATCTCCTTGGCTATTCCTTTTGAGTCTGTATCTCCAGAGGTGGGAATTCTCCTGTCCTCCAGTGCATACCCAGACGAGTGAGGGGGTCTGATCCACCAAAAGGTTAGAGCTTTAATGAGCATGATCCAGTTTGGGGTCCTGACCAATTTGCAGACCTCAACTCTTTTTGGGGAGGGTTGGGGGTTTTTTGGTAATATCTTGACTTCCACCTTGGGAGGAGTCTGATGTAATGTATAAATTGTGACAGAAGCATGACTTAGTTAGGATGAACAGAATACAGCAGCTGAGTTAAGAGCTGGGCACCTGTCAGGCACCCGCAGACCACTCAGCCAGGAAACTGCTGGTTTCCAGCTACAAAGCATGACAAGCCTCTCCCTGCTAATGAGACAGGGAGCACAATCAGGCAAGTGGAGCAGGTGTTGTTTACTCCAAAGCTCCGTTCCCCAGTAATACCACATCAAGCTCCTACTCTGAGTCCATTGATAGATGTCGTACACAAAAGTCCATCTCCTTCAGACAGGACAAAGAGATGGAGAATGAACCAAGAGAGCACTGCCCTGTTTTCTGTTGGTATTAAATTCAAAGCCTTGTGTTCAATTCCCTTGACGTGTAACCAGGGAGGCTTCTACTCCTGGCATTCCTGTGCTAGTTCTGCAGAAAAGATGCCTCCCTCTCTTCGACAGAATGGAAAGACAAAAGCAGCTCTGCTCCCAGAATGTCTCCTAGAATGGCAGAATCATATTTCAGGAATATTAAATCATTCTGCATTTCCATCGTGAGCCCTAGGATTCCTAAATTCAAGCAGTTTAGAATTTAGATCACAAACTACCCTCTAAACAGGGATTTGATGAAACACAGAAACCCTGTGGAAGGCTGTGTTTTTCTTAAAATATGACAGAAGGAGTATTTATTTTCAGTACAAAAATGGTTTCATTTAAAAAAAAAAAAAAAAGCACGGCTTTGTAGAGGTTTTTTCAGAAGTAAGATTCATGAGGAAGCATCAGTGTCTTTAAAGCCCTGTTTTAATCTCAGGTCAACATTATACTTGTATTTTGTTGCAGCAAACATGACACACATCACGAATAATTCCATTCCATTAGGTAAAAACTCTCCTAGACTAAAATGAACTTACTTCATATCGAGCTGGAGCTTTTCACTGCACATGCAAACACGTGGGAAAATATAAAATTAAGATTGTGATTTAGCTAGGGGAAATCATGACTTTTAAGGATTAAGAAAACTAGAGAGGAACAGCAAGTCTTTAATTTCTACAGCTGACATGTGAAAAAAACTATAAAAGAAAGTCTCAGGACAAAGACTGCTTGGGTAATGTGCACCAATAAAGTGAAGACTGTCCGTAAATAAGTCAATAAACTGTGGCTGCAGCCTGTGACACAAGCACACTGCATGCTCTTTAATGTTCAAGACACTCTACAGAACCAAGACTTAATGGCACGTGTTTTCCTCTGATTTTGTAAGTGCTCTTGCACAAAAAAACCTTATCTGTAGAGTAAGTGAAAAGATTATTCACTGCTTTTTCATGTCTCTCCCACATACCCTTCTATGGATAAAGCTTAAAAAAACCCTCAGTAACTGAAAAAACCAAAATGTGACAAGTACATTACAGTTTGGGATATATGTCAGGCAAATCATTTTTCAGGTACTCTTCTGGCATTGCCTGCATACCCACGGAGTTCATAAAACAACTAAATGATGATTTATGCGTAGTAACTTCCTTGGTAGTAATTGTTATGCCAAGAAAAACTTATTTACTGATTGCAGACACCCATACAATAGCAGACGGATTTTTTTATTCATGAACCAATCAATCAGCGTGAGGCACAGATGGTGAATGGTGAAAACAGAAAATACAAGGTTCATTTTCCCTTCATTTCTAAAGAAATATCTAAGCTGTATTGTTGTCACTGGGAAGTGGGTCTCTGCTCTGAAATGTAGAACAAAACAATGTGGGTTGACCTAGAAACTGTACAGTTTCTGTGGTTACAGAGGTAAAATCATGCTGCAAACAGGCAACAAAACACAAATTTCTGTGGTACATATGTCACTTGGCTCATGGATTTGTCTTTAGAATCACAGAGAACTCAAGAAATGCCAACATGTTAGTGCTGCAAATCAGATCAGCAACAGAAAACCCAAGAAAATGACCCTAAATCTGTGCACTATTTCAGTACTCCAAAGCTGTACTTCATCTGTGGGAACTCCAATGAACCTGTAAAGACTGAACACCACATCAGTATTCCCAGCACCAGCTCGGGAACTTCACAACTTCCATTGTTTTATTTATGAATATTACAGCTCAGGCTTGCTCAAGCTCCACAAGGACTCCATGGCAATCTTTGGGGTGTAGAAAAATCACAGGTTTGCCATGTGCACCTATTTTTGGCTCTTCACTCAATATTCGCATCTGTTTTTTCTTCAGTTCTGCCATGGCCGCTTTTATGTCATCGACCTTACAAAAAAATACAGTTCACACAAATTACCATCTGACATGCATTATGTGCATTTTATGGTGAGGAGCAATAATGTATTTCCTTACTAAAATGTTACTGCTAAATTCTGACATAATTCTGAAAACAAATTAAATTACAAAACCTTTTTAAAACATCTAGTCTTAAAAATAAAAATAATACAGAAGTTTGTTATTTGAACATTTTACAAAATACTGTTTAAATAGATAGTTACATTTAAGAAATTCATAAACTAAAATCACTCGTGCACAAAGCCCATTGATTTTTTTTCTGTTGTTGCTTTATAAGGATTCCATAAATAATCTAAACTCTGCATTACCATTACTAGGAAGATCATATTGCTTTCAAACTATCAATAACTAAAGAAAAATGCCTCATTAGATGCTGGTGAAAAGGCAGGGCAATGGGCAGCAGGGAAAAGGAAAGGCCCTTTTCCATTTATATATCCTCCTTCTGAGCAGGTTAAGGTTCATAAAATTTCCTAAGGAAAAAAGCTTGGAATTATCAAAAATATACCCCGAATAGGACCTGGTCTTTCTATTGAACTTAGCTATAATAACAGCCATTAATATTTCAGTAGAGTTTCCTGGGGGAGCAGCCAGGCAGCACAGTGTCAGGCTGGCATTTCTCTCTTACTCCACTAAGTGGCCAGCATGCTTTTCACTGCAGGTATTTGACTAAGACTGGGCAGGAATAATTTAATTCCTTCTTAAAGCATTTAACTTGCATGAAACAAGTTCCCTGTCAAAACATCCATCGAAATTTTCCTTTGTACAAGATGGAAGAAATTAAGAGTGTTTTGATAAACTTGTTAGGCTTCCTCTCCAGTATGGAAAGAATTTTTTCAATTCAGCTTTTTGCAATAAAATTGTCCATAGAAAGATATTTCTACAAAGTATTTTTTTACATTTCAAATGAACAATCAATTGACAGTGAAGTTCTTTAATAGTTTTTATTAAAACCCTTTCTGCTCAACTTAGAAGACTACTTACCTTTGAAACTGTAAGATTTTCCCTTCTGAGAATGGGAAATTGGAGGAGGGAGGTTAACCTCTTTATGACTGACAATGGTAGGGACCAGATTTGTTTATCAGACCCACTTCAATAGCACTTTAACCACGGGTAGCTTTTCTCTCTGGGTTAATTAGTCTGTAATTTTCCATTTGTTTTTACATGGAGACAAACACCACTGACTTAGGAGAATATTTTTCTTAATTTCTTAATTTTTAAACATTATTATTATTTTTGTGTAGAGATTACACTAATGAGTTACAAGACTTCGTTTAGAAAAATCTGATTGCATGTAGCACTGGTTTACCTGATTCATGGAAACTCTCTGTTAGATGATGATTCCTGGCTTGCTTGACCTACTGTACAGATATAACTTTGAACAGAAGACTCTCCATTGTCCAGCATAATGCCTTTCCAGCTATTTTGTCTGTAAATGTAGCGAGCTGTGTTTGCAGTGCTGCCTGTCTCTGGTCTCCCCTGAGGCTGGCTGTGTCACCTGGCACTGTCTGAAATGGGTGCTGGGCTGTCCTGGACAGGGTGGCTACACTTGGAGTTAAATGCCTCATTGGCTTGTTTTTAATGTTTCAGTACAGGTAACAGATAAATTACTTTTTTGTCCCATTCTTCTCAACTTTCACAGTTAAACTGAGAAGGAAATTACTTTCCTTGACAACCATCTTTGGTTCATCTGCAAGATCATCTCTCATACAAAATGGAGATCTACATAGAACAATTTCAGCTGGTAACACGTATCTGAAACTTCTTAAACAGCATTACACTCACTTGAAACCCTTGGGAGCTTTGAGCTCTTTTTGCTGGGAAATGCCTACAATTTCTTGCTCTTGTACCTGTAAGTGAGAACCACCGGTCTGACAGAGGGCTGGAGGTTTTTTCCTCCTTACTGAAAATCGCTTCTTTCTTCTACATTCCCATTTCCTAACAATCAGGGTCAATTTAAACAGAATTAATTTTCCTACTCTTGATCGTCAGCAATCAAGCAAACTCAGAGCAAGAACAGTTGCAATGTCTGTGTGTATGCAAAATTTCTCAATTCCCATCGAGAGCACACAACTGGTCTTTACAGATGGATTCTGAAAACGATTTTTACTCACATCAGTAATCCCATTACTTTTTAATATTACACTTTGCATCATTACAGCTGGAAATAATAGTTTGCAAGACTCAGCTCTGTGAAATATTTAAAACATAGGCAGCAGCATAAAATTTTGCACCAAATAGGTACACTAAAACATGAGTACACTAAATAAGATGAGTATTTTACCCAGCACCTTTACATCTCTTCCAGACCAATCTGTCTTTGCTGGGCAGGGAAGAACAGGACAGGAGGCACTCTGGAGGCTTTACTGCTGTTTGGTAAGCACAGCTGACAAGCTCTTTTGACTTTGCATATAATTATCAACTAAATATCAAACAGGAAGAAACTTTCTAAAATCTAAGTTATGCCTCAGCTTAAACCCACAACTCTCTTTTCCCACTGTCTGTCCTTGTGTGTCAGGAAGTGGACACCCGTCCCAAACTGCTCACAAGCCCCAAGGGTGTCCACCTTCCACAGTGGTACTTAACCCTTCCTTCCCCAGTTTAGCCTTCACAGCACAAAAGAGGAAAAAATGCCCACGTAGCTCATGACATTGAACTGTGACTTCCAAAACAGAAAAAAAGGCATGTTTAAAGACTTCTCCTTAGGAAATAAACATTTTCACAAATATATATATTTGTTCTTGACACAGGTCAAACCTATGAAAACACAAGGACACTTTAATATATCTCATTATGCAATAGATTGTGTTGAAATACCTCAATGCAGATATGATGCATTCCTCCAGTCTTGTTTTTTTGCAGAAAACTTGCGATGGGACTTTTCTCTCCTAAAGGATGTAGAAGTTCCAGCTTGGTATTGCCCAGCTCCACAAAAACAGTGTAGACGCCGTGGTCGGGAAGCGCCACGGCCTCGCTCACCTGGGCTCCCAGCACATCCCTGTACAGCCCCCGAGCCTTCTCCAGGTCAGGCACTGCGATGGCCACGTGGTTGAGTCGGCCCAGCTTCCACACACAGCTCGGAATGTTCTGTGCAGAGGACTCTGATGATGACAGGGCTCTCACTGTGGGAGCTGACATCTGCAGCCTGGTAAGAAGCCCTGAAAGAGAGTGAACAGCGCTGGGACAATGCTTTTAGAAGGTATCACTGCCTGCTCCTTCCCCTGTGAGGCCCTACAGGACACCAGTGCCCTTTAGCTCAGTGAACACTTTTTTCAGAGACTAAGTAAATATTCAGAAGTATAAAAAACCCCCAAAACCCCAAACCAGACTCAAATCTGGTGTAAATCCTTACATATGCCTGTTAAAAAGAGGAATACGTGACCAATGTAACAGTCCACTGTAGAATGTGCTCAACAGGGACTTCTGAATTTTTCAGAAC